CTTATTTAACTTATTGATTATTTAATGGTAAGATATTTATCATTTTGTTAGTACTACTGTCCGACACCAGGGTGTTTGAGTATGACAGTGGCGGAGATTGACAGTGCTACCTAGTCCCAATTATTATTTTAAATTCAACCTTTAAGTTATATTATGATTTTTACATAATACACATTATTATTTTTAAAATTGATAAATCTAATGATAAAATTGATACATAAGTTTCTAAATTAAGTATTTAAAGTTTAAATTATTATTAAAAATAAAAATTTGTAGCTGATAACTTTACCTGCTGTTTAGCTCATCCTCATTGGCAATGCGATTCACAATAACCCTATCGTTATGTGATGTAATTACATTGCGTTGTTCATGTTCAGTTAGGTCACAGTCGGTACGATCATGGTAAGGTTTATAGCAATTCGTACAAAATACTAGGCCACATTTGGGACAGGTAGCACTGTCAATCTCCGCCACTGTCATACTCAAACACCCTGGTGTCGGACAGTAGTACTAACAAAATGATAAATATCTTACCATTAAATAATCAATAAGTTAAATAAGTTAGGGTGGTCACCCTGCCAACACTCACCACATCGGGCATATCCTTAACCGCAGCCACCAATAATAACCACTCATATCGGGCGTACAGTTCATCGGACACAATATAACTGACCAAGAACTGTTGGGCAACCGTTTGGCAATCTTTATCCGGGCACTTTATACCCTCGACGTTACCTTCCCGGATGGCGTTAGACAAATACCCGGACATACAGTCTGCGCAAAATAGATGTCCGCATCCGCACTCTACCGACTCGCCCAGGGGTTGCTTATCCATACATATGGCGCAATCAAACTGAGGGCCGGTAGCCTTTGGTGGAGGTTTGTTTACATTTTCTGGGTATACCGAACGTGCTACTCGAGTATTTTAAATATTAAACAATAATTAATTGACGATTTTACAAAATGTTTCAAATGATCCACTGGGTGCTTAAAAGGGTTATGTATTTTTTAATGAAAACTGTATACATAACATAATCATTGCATTTCTCAAAGTAATGTACAATATTAGATACTATAAATGCAATGACTATGTTATGCATACAGTTTGAATTTAAAAATAAATAACCCTTTTATGCACGTTGACGATCAAATAGTATTAAACTGTGTAGCTATCACACTCCGAACATGTAATTTTCAATTATATTTAACGTAGTAAATAGTTTATGTAAATTTTAAAGTAGATCTTAATTATTATTAATAAATTGTTAATAAGCTTATACACTACAGTAAATAAATAATACTATTGTAGGGCTATTCAATAAGTATGTTACAAACTCAACATTTGTCAGCTCAACTTCATAATCTGCCATACTTTTTTATATCTGTAAATCCATGCTTATTCTAACCACCCTCCCCTTATTCTATACGTATGTATTTTTAAAAATATTTATATATACCTTTTGGGGCTGGTGGGGTATCAAATATACTAGTTGCCTGTGCCACATTAAAATTATCTTGATCATTTCTGTCTATAACTTCCGTTTCATTTATATCAGCCATACTGAGTGCCATTGCCAACTGTAATTGCTCATTATCATTATCATAATGATTATTATTGTTATTATATGCCGATCGTGTTTGAACACCAGGGTGACTTTGTCTAATATCATTTAGACCAGAGTTAGAAGCAGAGGCTTTACCACCAGTGTTAAATAGTACTCTACCAACTTTTTGTTTAAACCCATTTTGACTTCTAAATATGTCATAT